GGGGGAAGGAGTTTTAGTGGTCGTGTTGGATGTATAAAAATTTTAATTTCAATTAATCATTACGAATCGTACTTAAAATGTGGGGGTTATATAAAAAGTTAGCCACTGAGTCTATAGGTGGCTTTTCTTCGCAATTTTCTAATAAATGTTTATTCTGTATTTATACATTAAAAATATTCTTGCCAGTCTTGTTTTTATAGAAAAATAAGAACATAATTTTAAATATTTTCAGGGATTCTTAGAACTTGCTTACTGTAATTGAAAATTTAGGAAATTTTTCGAATATTATCACATATACTTATTTCATAATATAAAAATTTTATTTGATTCATAAGAATTTGATTCACACTTCATTCTGCCCTCCTCTTTTAAATTTAAGGCCCTTAATTGTGATTTTAACCCTTCGTAAATTCGACTATCTTATGTGGATTCACAGCTTGCTGCTCCTCAGACATAAGAATGAAGCGCCTTTTTTTTGAATCAAGGCTCTCAATTATTTCAAAATGTGTATTGAGATTACACTATTATAAAATGCAAAATTGCATGCCTTATACTTTAGGTCAATATTCACCAGGTGTCCACTCAGTACACAATGTTCCGCGAGAATTTTCAAATATGGTTGTTCTACATTGTAATTGTTTTTTAAATATGGGAAAAAAAAAACTTTTTCAAGGGAGTGAATAATTAATCATAAGAAAATCAGATCTTTTTAAAATAAATGATCGGAGGGAAGACCTTGTTATCGGAGGGAAGACTCCAACCATATCGTCGTTGATTAGTAATTACTTGAAATTCACATAAAACTAAGTATAACAAAATTTTTCTTAATGAAAAAATATTTTGATAAATTTTTTAAATTTTAGAGAATTCAAAATTTGTTTTGAATTTTCTGGTTCGATGAAAATTTTTCAATTCAACAATTGGTATGAAGTTATTTCTTGTGTCTTTATAGGGAAATAACCCGCATACAACACACAAAAATGTTTGTTAACAAAATGGCTCCTGCATTTGCTTATTAAGAAAAGATAATTTTCTAAAAATTTCAATATTAAATTTTTTCTACATTATTCTAAAGAATGAATTCAAAACATTCCATACTTTAAGAACAAAAAAAAAAACGTAATATGGCAAATCAATTATGTCACACTTGAAAATATTCCATTTATCTTCATTTTATTAATCTAAAAAATAATTTTAAGAAAATCTTAAATAACGACCTTGTGAGGGGTTTTCTTGATTTATGAAAGGATTTTTTCATATTTCATCTTATGATTGATTCTCCTATCATTAGAATTAAGTCACTTTTTAGCTATTAATTTCAAAATCATCGTATACTTAACATTCAAAGCAAATCAACCATTTGATATCATTTTCATAGTTAAATATTTTCTACTTGAATAAATCCAAGAACTAAAGAACTTAAATGAGAAATTTTAAATGTTAAAATGAAAAAAGAAGAAAAGGATAGTTAAGTGTATACCATTTTGAAAGGTATACCAAGTAATTAAATAATCATTAAATTCTCACCTTTCATTTTTTTTTTTTGTTTTTGTTGATTCTCTTCTTTAAAATTTAAAAACTTCTTTAGTTAAGTATAAAATTAAACCAGATCCGACAGTTTTTACCATTAATTCACAAAGGACATAATTAAAATTTAACAAAAAAAAAATAAGAACGTTTTTTGTATTCAGGTTTTTTGTTTAGGTTTTGAAAGGAATGGTTAGAGTTTTTGCTACATATTTCATGTTTTTCCCAAATTGAATAAGAAAAAATAATATTGTTAATGTGCGTAGTCCTAGATCAGATTCTTAATGAATAATGAAAGTCGAAGCGAACTTTTTTAAGTAATTGTCAATGGTAACACTTCAATTATAAGGAGACCTTACGATGGTTTACTTATGTTGAAAATCAGGTTTCATGCTGAGGAGCAGTCAAAAAAGAACAATTTTTTTCCCGAAATTTTTCTGAGAAGCACAATTAAAAATAAACGAGAATAGGTAGAATTGTCAACTCTGGGTGATCCGTACAGATGAATGATTTCAAGTGCTGAGTGTTAATTTCGATATTGTCGCATAAGTACTCCTGTTATACACTAATTTCAATTGTTTCGACCAGAAACTACCAGATAGTTTTACCAAATATCTACATAATGTATAAGAGCCCTTATAAAATATTTGCTTTTGTGGAATTTCAATACTGTATATACCATTTCTGAGATTTACCCAAATAACTTTTGGAGTTATATTGTAGCTATCATAAGCGCTCATGACACATTTACAGATTTTACCGAAAATAATCGCCATTTTGCAAAATTTTATTAATGTTGCTTTAACAATTTCTAAGTTTTTGGCCCAGTTACTGTTAAAATTGTTTTAATTAGATTTAAAATTAGAATTTTCGATTGAGAAGCGGCATACGGAAAATGAGAATAATAGAAAATTAAAAGGGATTCCCCTAATTAAATACCAGTTTTAGTATTGCATACCTGTTCTTTTTCCAAATATTTTTGATTTTTTGAAAATTTTCCATAACTCATCCCCAATATTCTCATTAAAAAACTAAACTAGAATAGTAATTGTTTATATTTATTCTACTAAATACATTCTACAACATTATAAACTGAAAGATTTAATAAAAAAAAAATCGTTTTAAATAATCATTCATAAAAATATCCTTATACAATAATAATCCCCTTTTTTTTAAGACAAGGATTATAGTATGCTATATAGCTCAGTTAACCTTATACTATTATAATATCAAAAATACAAACACGCATTCAACCCAAAAAAAAGATTTTTTTTTTTTGAAGAATTTTTGACACATTAAATATACGTTTTTGTGCCTTTATATATACACTTTTTACCTGTATTATATTATTATAAAGGTAAAGATGGTGGAAATACGAGTATGGAAAAAAAATTGTAACATTTTTATGTACGGAACATTGAAAAAATACAAAAGAGAAAGAAACTTGTCAACAAACGCTTCATTTTTTTTTCGCCTATTTTTTTTTGTTATATACTTTATTACTGTTGGCTTTTTACCGGCCCCATTGTATTCAATAAAAAAGGTATTGTAATCACACCAAATTTCATAATGTGATATTTATTTAAGGGAAATCGATATATCTATATGTTGGAGGAGAAACGTTAATAAGCTAACTTTAGCAAATTTGTCGGTGTGTAGCTGTCTGTTTCTCTGAGCAATTCATTCGAACAGATTTTAATTAGACTTTATTTTTCAGTATTCTTTTCGAATTGGATCAATAATCAACTTTTGGGAAACATGCAGTTTCTATTGTTGGCAGAAGACGAATTTTTCTGGTATTATAATCCGAGAGTCAGATTTTCAGAAAAATCAAGAGTCAGAGATTGGAGCTTTATCTCAATTCATTGTTACATTTTTGATCGTTATATAAAAAAATGATAAAAGGTTTTTTATACGAAAAACTGAAATTTTATCCAGATTTGCAAATATCATTAAGGAAAAATATAATGCATTCGGTTATGCGATTGCCACATCAGATTTTTATTTCACATTTGTGTTACACTATATATATTAAAATATGTCCTTCATTAAGGATATTACGAGTATATTTATGACAATGTGACTTAATACTTAAAACATGTTTTTAACATTTCATTTACTCTATACACAAATTTCCTTGAATACTCTACATTTTATATAAACGCTAAAACTTACGTCATTTTACTTTGTAGTGAAAAGAACCTTTTTGTTTCTTTAAGTTTTATGAGAACAGCAAAGAAAAAAAAAACGAAAATTTATTTTTCATTATAATAATTATCGATTCATTAGATACAAAGTACCTACAACTATACATTGTTTGTGTACCGTAAATTTTACCGCATTACAAAACCGGTAAGTACTGAAAAATATTAAATTAAATGTGTAAAAATGTTAGTATAGAATAACAGAGAAGGTAATGGTGGATTTCATTAGTCTTATATTAATAAAAGAAAAAAAATATTCAAAAATAATAATTATTGTTGAATATTACGAAAGTATTGATTTTCTCTCTTATAATTGTTGTATAAAGGTTTATGACTTTTATAAATGAAATTTAGTTATTTTGATTACTGGTTTTCTCATTAAATCATTTTATCTATACATATTTGTCTTATAAAACTAAAGGATATTGGAATTTCAAGCTCCATCTACAGAATATGTCAAATTATAAAATAATAAATTGTAAGACACACTTCTCAATTTAAACTAGTTTTTTAGTTTAAACAAGACTTTAGATATCAAACATTGTTCATCTAGCTGGTTTGATTGAAATATTGAATACCTTATGCTTTGATTAAATAATGATGAAATTTTTGATCAAACACAATCAATAAATATTTGAATGATATCGAACTTTCATCAAATTTTGAATAAATGGAGCAATTAACTAAAATAACTGGATAATGTTCGATGTGATCTATGAGAAGAAGTATATGTAAATGAACTTGGTTTCTGAAAGGGGAATATTTGATTTAATTTTCTGTAAATCAAACTAGTTTTAGAAAATTTTTGCTCTTCATTTGAATATACATATATATTTTGCATTACGGCGAATTTTGTAAAATGTAAGAATATTTTTACGGAAATTTTGGGGTATTATAAGAAAACAAAAATCGATTTAAATCAGTATTTGTACAAAAAATCTATACCTATTGTTCAAATATCCGTTCTATAATCCAAAATTCGAAAATATCCGAATAACCTTTTTAATATGCTACAAAAAACTTTCTACAGCATTCAGAGAACAAAATAATTACTTCACTTCACTTTTCTTTAGAAATCATACTAAACCTTTAAGCTTAGTTTTATTCGAAAATACTAATCGAGACTGTATTTTGTCTTATTGTAGTAGATATATTGAATTAGCATAAAACGTTAAGCTGTATTGTAAAAATTATGTATAATAGACCATTTGTTTTGCATATTGTAATTCACTCAAAAAAACTATAAAAATTCAATAAATTTTTACTTACTCAATACAGTTGGAAAAAAAAATAAATTCAATATTGATATTGTTTTAAATATCGTTCTTCGAATATAAGATTTCCATGATTCCTTACCTGAAAAATAAAATTAACAAAAATTAGATTATTTTATTTATATATTTAATTAAAATAATTAAAAATTTTAATAAATAATAATATATAACAATAGTAATTATAATTATAGTGATGCATGATCATAGTTGCTAGATTTCGACAATCAAATAGTATTAATCATACAGTATTAATCATACGGTTATGTTCGATGTTGCTAAAACCCGTTGCTACATCATATTTCATACAATTAATTGTGTTCCTATATAACATAATTAAAAATTGGAAATGTTACACGAAGTTTTTCCTTTTTAGATTATTTAATTAGGTTTGGATTAATAAATATTGTTACAAAATTATAACATTTAATCAAGATTAATCAATAACAGAATAAAAATGTTATTTAATTTAATTTATCAAAAGTGAAAATTAACACTAAACTGTAACAGAATGATCTAATTCTTTGTTGAAAATGAAAGAATTAACAAAATTACAAAAAAATTATTTTTTAATCACTTAAGCAATTTTTTATTTAAACATACAATTTTTTTTTAATTAATCCAAAATTTTATTTAAAAAAATGTTAAAATCCAAAATTTTAACAACTTTAATTTAATTGAAAATTAAAAATTTATTTTAGATTGTTTATTGAAAATTAGGCACAGTCAAAAATGAACTAATTCTTGTTTTCAATTATTGATAATAATATGTAGATATATATTTGATCGTGTCAACTCTGTAATCAATCCTACAAGGAATAAATCCTTATCAAGGACTCATTCTAAAAATTTTGTGGGAACTGTGCCAATAATTCAGAAGATCGTGAATGCTCTTTCTTAAAATAAATATAGTTTCTATTAAAATATCAAGTACGACGAGGCTGTAGTAGCCATATATACATAATTCATTTATTTCAGAACTGGCACCGCTGCATCGAGAACCTTTCAATAAAATAGGTTGTTGTGATTTACTTTCTCTTAGTGTCTTTCTTAGATCTTTTTTATTTATGAACCTATTTTAATTCATTTTTAAGCTGTTCTTGTGACAAATTAAACGGTAAACAAACGTGGCTAAATTGTTTAGAATGCGACGCTTGGGCGCTAGGCGATAAATAACTGTCCTATTCACTCATTATGTAATTTTATTAGCACTAATATGTATCTGACTACAGTTATTCAAATTATACTAATCAATCGAAGAAATATAGCTTAAAAATCAGAAGGACATAAAAAAATTAACTGATTATTGACGGAGTTCTTAATATTTTTTATATCAAGCCTTAGATTTTGCATTTTCGATTGACAGTGGTAAAAGCACAGTAAATATAAAAGCAAAAACCTTTAACAGTATAGCTAATTTTTGACTACCACCTGGTTCTATTTTACATTTATTCATTTTGGTAGTTGTTTAAAATGATCCGTGTGGTTGACATAATTTTCAAAATTGTGACATTCTGTAAAAGTGTGGTATATTTATATATTTTATTGATTTAATGTAAATTTTTTATTTATTCCCAAAATATATTGTAAGAGTAAAATCTTTATGAATTATTAATGTGAATATTAACATGACATATGTATGTTAATGAATGTCATATAGGAATTTTTAAGTAAATTATTAATATTTAATTATTTATATAGGTACTTACAAATAAAATAATATAGAATTAGAACTAAGTATATTTAATTTGAGCAAACTTATTCATAATTCAGAATTCAAATTTATATTTTCAATTTGATATAACTTAGCTTAATCTTAAGAATTTAAATTTTATTTTAAATAATTATATATTTTAATATTTAGTTTAGACACCTTCTAAATATCTTCTTTAAACAGCTATATGTATGAATTTTAATTAATTTTTCTCAAAATTTATTTGAGAACCCTTTAGAACTTGTGAATTAAATTCTATTATCTAACCCTAGGAAATTGTGAATTAAATTCTAATATTATTATTAATTCTTCGACACAGGGAACGGAGGCTCAAAATTAGCGCTAGTCACGTCGACCCATAGGATTCTTTGTGAAATTTTTAACTTAAAAATTAACTCAAATTTTAATCTTACTGGTAAGTTCATATTCTGATACAGATACATCATCCATTGCACTTTAATAATTAAAATTTAAAATGTACTTATTTATTTTGTTTATTTATTTTTCGAAATATTTTTAAAAATTAATTTCAATTTAAGGTATTTAAGGTAAGAGATTAAATATTATAGAACCGCACCTTATCAAGCACAAATATTCTTTAATACTAAAATAGTAAATTGACAGAAATTATATTTATTTTTTTTTATACATATATATAAATAAATTTACGAATATTCATGTATGTATATGTATTTGAAATACATAATAAAAAAATAAAGAAAACAATTTGTTACTTCCAAAATTAGAGTTATTAAAGAGGTTTTTTTTTTTATTAATCAATAAAGATAAACAAAAATAGGTGTACGTACTTCTATCTATACCTAAATACGTTTAAGAATACAAGTATATATGAATATGAGTGTATATGTATGTACAAGGAAATTATATATATATTTTATTAACGGTTAAAAATAATAACAAAGTCATTTTGTACGTAAGTGCCTTTACTGATATAATTAAGTTAGAATAAAGAAGGTAGGGAATTTCGTAAAATTGGTTTTACTTTTAATTTTTTTTTTATTGAATTTTTTAATTGCGATTTAAGTAGATTTTACACGTTAATTTAATTTTAAATGTTAATTTGAATTTTATCAATTTGTAAAGGGAAAGTAGCAGTGGCATGATATCAGTAGTGTTGGCTGGCAGTTAAGGTTTCTTACTCCTTAAAATATTATTTTATGTAGCGTCCACGTTTGTTATACCTTGAGCTTGAATAGAACTTGAGTAATTTTTGTTCTACCTTAAGCTATATCAAATGTCATTTCTATACTATTTTTTTATCATATTAAAATATATAGTTTTGGAAACGGCTTGTTGCAACTGATTTTATTATCTTAATTAAAGGGAAAAGAAATGTCATATTACTTATATTTTAAGTTCCTCATGTGAATATACTTTTAACAAAAACCGTTCTTTTTTCTTATTTTTAGAAAAATTAAAACTCTTAAATGCCTCCAAGTGAAAAGGAAAGGTGAAATTGTTATCTTTCTTTCAAAAAACACGTATTTTGGAACTTATGTACTAGCACCACTTAATGTAAGATATTAATGTCGCTGTTCATGAACCCTTGAGAGCACTGTAATATTTTACAAGAAATTTTAAAAGAAAAATATTTTATAACCATATAGAAAAATTCAATTGTGAATTTCATATTGTGACGTTGCAAGCTTTTCTTTTTAATATATTAAAAAAAATTGGGACAATCATTTTTGGATTTTATATCCTAGCACCATTTAATATAAGATATTTATAAAATTATTCATTGACCCTGGAGAGTACTTTAGCATTTAAATAAAACTTGTTTATATAAGCTGAGAGAGAAAATTTCTAAGAATTCAATTTCTTTTACTAAAGGACTTTTTGACTACTGTAAGCAATAAGGTATTCAAAATTCGTAACGTATAATAAATTTTTTTAATATTCATTTAACTTTACTTTCAATTCATCGGTTCTTTGTTATCCGTTCTACATATTGCTTATACGAAAATTTTGATGGTAATTGACATTTTCATGTAAAATTTTTTATATAATATGGTTTGTCATTCTAGTTCATAACTGCATATTTGATTAATTTTATTTTATTGACATGTAAATTTGATAGTAATTATCTTAATAATATGAAATTAAAAAATATGAAATTATAATAATGTCTACTACAATAGAGTGATAAGTTGACCAACAATGTGATAATTTCAAAAAATTCCAAAACTATAATTATTGTCTTCTGTAAAATGGAGAACTAATTACATTATACAACAATATTATATAATAGATATTTTTACAAAATTTTCTAAAATAAACAATTAATACACAAATTTTGTATGATTGACAATATGACAGCTATTTAACGTCAAACTTGATTTAAGAATATTAAAATTAAGTAGGCTTTTGTTTACTTACTATATTAATTGATAATTTTTTTTTTTATAAATATTAACAATAATATATTGATTAAACTAAATCAGAATAAATTTAAGCGTCTATGTAGTCATTATTACTTGAAGTATTCAAGTAGTTCTTAGTTCGATGAGTTTGTAAATCAAACATTGTTTCTGGATTTTGTTTGATCGAACAACATTTTGATCATAGTTTGACGTTCATACTTATATTTTGTTTGATGAAAAAAATTAAACCGCATTAAAAATCTAATTTGACATTGAATTTGAATGACAAATTTAGTATACACCTAAATTTTTTTCATTAAACCTTAAATAGTAAACTATTTTAAGTTTTTATTGTAGTTATTAATATAGCATACTAGTCAGACACAATTAGATACCAAAATAAATTCTTATTTGTTCAAATTCAAAGCAAAAATATGCTATAAGTAGTCGGAAAATTATTCATATATTTTAAAAATTTATGTAAATTTTATGATGATGACAAAGAGCTTAGTTATAAATACTTATCTTAACTATGTGCTATTATTGTATGTAAGTGCTTACAATGAGCATAAGAGTGCGTTAATGAGCATAAGAGTGCGATTAGATACATTAATGTTAAAATAATAATAATAGTAACAAGACATAATAAAACATAAAAATATTTAAAAAAAATTGTTTAATTTGCAGCTTTACCGTTGTAAAATATTTTTATAACAGTAAATCTGTATTATCAATTTGTAAATACTAGAATTTTATGATCAAATAAACCATATGAACTGAAAGGAAATTTTAAAAGCAATTTTCATTTTGCTACTTAATAAATATTTGTGGTTAATTTTTGTATATGAAGACGATTTAGGTATAGATTCGGATGTAGAAGAAAATTTTCAATCCTTAGAAAATTTCATAACAAAATGGTAAATTCTGACTCATTCCTTTATTGCGAAAGTACGACAAAAAAATTTGTTCCAAACCAACTTGGTTTCA